TACGAACGGAGCCGGTAGCGTGGGCAGACAGCACGGAGCAGATCTCGTGGGGTGCCACGAGCCCCGAGGGCACGGAGGAACCAGCAGCAGCGCGGTCGGTGGCCGGTTACCCCAGCGGTGGCAAGCGGAGGGTCTGTGTTCCTGCCAACCTGACCTCTCCCCGCTTGCGTCTCTGGGTACGTGTCCTCCATCACAGCTCAATTCCTGGACTGCAGGTCGAGGAAGTTGCTTTAGTGCAGAGCAGATGCAAATCTAGTAAAACTGTGCTTTTTTTTTTTTCTTTTTTTGCTTTTCCCCTCCAAAAAAAGAAATGCCATCACCTGTGACATGATGCAGGCATGAAGGTGAATTCCCAGTGACACCAGCATGTGCCCTTCCCTCCTGCGGCTGACCAACAGGCAACGCGGGCAACTGCGCGTCCCTGATAGGAGCCTGCCTGCTGCGCAGGTTGCTTCCTCTCTTGGGAGGATAAGGATCTTTTAATAACCTCATGGTGAGATCACAATCATGAGATTTTTTTTTTCAGGGCATCCCCTACAACCACTCTAAGAAGTCCTCTCGGTGAAGAATCCCAGGTCAGTACCACTCTTAATGTCAGGAATTTACTGACAATTTCACTTCTGCTATTTCGTTTGCTTGAGAAAACATTGTGCATTGTGTCAATGCCCCCTCCAGAGAAAAACCTACTGACTTCAACACAAACTTCCCCGCGTCATCCCAAATGCCACCTCGGTAGCTCGAGAGCCGAGAGGGGTGTTTGGGCAGAGGGCAAAACGGGATGTGGGAGATCCCGGGTATCTCGGTTTGGCATTGCCGGGCACAGCATGACAGCAGGAGAGACGTCAGGGTCCCTCCTTGACGTAAGAGGGACGTTACTGGGAAGTGGGCAGTTGGGGAAGGTTCACCCTTAACTCACCAGCGCTTCTGTTTGGGTGACCCTGACTTCCTACAGCGACGGGGAGAAACCCTCGCTGGAGGCTTAGGTCAGCGAAAGAGCAGAAGAGGAGAGGTGAGGGCGGGGGGGGACGTAGCTGGGGTTTCCTTCGTCGGGGCTTGTCCTGTGGCAGGGTGCAGGGGACGAGAAGGACGGGTCAGCAGATCGCAAGGGCCCTATGATACCTGGATTTGAACTCCGATGCGTTTACTTGCCTGCAAAACCGCCTTCAGTGCTCAGCCTGAAGCTGGGCTAACAGTACTGTCAGTTTGCCTTCCCGAAACTGCTCGCCCCGCGCTGCGCGGGGGGTTCTCGTGCAGCCACGGGCAGCGTTGGCTGCAGCTGCGTGGACTCTCCAGCTGCTGAGAAACTGATGTTTCAAAGTCTGTTTTCATCTCAATTTGCTTAAAGCAAAATTAGTGGGAAATAGAGGAAGGCTTTGCATTCAGGATGTAAAAACATCTTGTGCTGTGCTTTTCTCAGAATGAATTCCGACTTGCTAAAGTGCAGTCGAGCCTTATGGGTTCTGCTTTCTAAGATCGTACAGCCCGTGCGCAGCCAGACACCGGCTCCTGAGGCACTGGGATCCTTCCCGCAGAGGGACGTCCAAGCTGAAGGACAGCCTGCGGATTTTACACGCGAGGCATAGGTGTGAAACACAGAAACTGCACTGCCATGAGATATTGCATTGCTGAATGAGCTGCAATTTAATGTCAGATCAACTCAAGATTATGTTTCAATTCAGTTCAGCAAATTCAATGTTTCGGTTCAAGTGGAACCAATGTGAACTGAAATCTTTCTTTCTGAGAGAACTTCCTGTGGGAGCTGCACTTTCTTTTGAGAATTCCTAGATGCACAACTACCATCCAGCTCTAGCACTGCGACCTGGGCAGCAAACGTTAATCACTGATTTCCACTCTTGCAGTGGAGGTGAGCAGAGTAATCTAGGCTCTAACGTAAGACTGAAAATACCTGGTAACTTGATTATTATTTTTTTTTACAGATAATTTAAATTGAACTGCGTCCTACTGAGCAAACAGCACAGCGTGGCTTTCTTGGGCATAGATCAGGCCTAGAGCTGAGCGGTGCGGTATGTTTGCTCGTGCAGGGTCACATTGCTGTAAAACATAGCTCATGGAGCACACGTGTGAAAGGGAATATGTCAGAGAGACAGAATCACAAAGGCATGGAATAGTCTGCAAATATACACAATCAAATTAAGCAAAGCTTTAATAAATGTTTGGAGAGCTCCCTAAGTACAAAATGTGATTGTACAAGAAGACTCGGTGTCATAACGACGTAGTAAATTGTTTATTTTAAAATATTGCCATTCTTTTTTAAGGAAAACATTTTGCTTGAATTGGCTCTGACAACATAGAACTTGGCATGTACCAAAACTCTGAAGCTAAAGCTTGGCAGTATGTCAGAAAAACTGCAAACCTCCTGCCCGCCTCCTTTCTCTTGTCATCTTTTCTCTTGTCAGCCACCCCGGACCTGGGGATGGATTCACGGGGACGCTGCGAGTAGCAGCATGGGGACCGAGGAGATCTAGGCGACGGTGCTGAGCTCTACATACCCTCACCCCCACCGACAGCACCGTGACTATGTTTAAAGGCTTTACACCCACCATTTCTAAGTATTCTGCCTGTACCTAAGAGAAGGCTTTCATCTCTAGTCCTGCTCGGCGGAAGTGGTTAAAAGATAATGCTCTCAAAGGCAGCGTTACCTGCTTGGATAATTGATGAACAAAGGAAAATAGAGCAATAAATAGAGCCGCAGAGATGTGAACTGCACATGCCTACCGAGATAAGTCAAAAGCAAGCGTGCTGAAAAGCCGGAGATGTGTGCTAACGAAAGGGCAGGTCACCTTCTGTGAAGCCAGATAAAAACACTGATAAGTGTTCAAGGCCCTGACTTTGGGTGAGGATGTGGGGATCCGGCATCCTGCACATTACGTACCCCGGGATGGGATCGGGACCCACTGAGAGGGTTTTGAAGTGGCAGCTGGGCTGGCACAATGTCTGAGGGGGTCTGACGCTGCGGCCGGGTGTTTACATGGGATCTGAGACCATCCGCAGGCTCCTCGGCTTCAGGTATATTTACTTTGGGCTGGAGAGAGCTAGGGAGCAAAGCATCGGGCTCCACATCGGTGTTAAAGGCAGCAAGCGATCGGTAGTTTTAGCATCAGATTCTTAATTGTACTCAAATTCTACTGAAGTCTCGTTTCGGCTGTGGTTAACTGTTACATTCTCTTAAAATAATTTTAACAGAAACATCCCACTGTAGTGTGGTTTGTTTTTTTTAAATGACACAAAATCTTCAGGTTTTCCAGCGCTGAACTATGCTAGAGGGGAAACGAGTCGGCTCTCCCCAGCAGGGAGAAGTGTTTACTTTTCCCGAGAGCTACCGGACATTCGGTGGTCATGGTGTTTTAATGCGTAGGAAAGGCATCCTTCACCAAATGATTTCAGCTCGGGTGCTGGCTGAAGGCACTTGCAGCGAGCTGGATTCTGCCTCGGAGGGTTATATGAGGTGCTGGTGCTGACGTAACCGATGGACTCATTTAGTGCAGCTTATCTGCTCCTTGTCATACGTATCCCATATAATGGTCAGATAATTAAGACACTGATTACTCTGAAAAGGAGAGTGATTCATTAGAGCCAGACAGTGGCTGTCTGGCACAGTTGCCTTTTATAATAGCTATTTAATTACATGGTTATTTGTCTGATGCAGAGTAATGGATTATCTCTAAATTAGCCTAAATGCATCATAGGTAGGACAAGTTTTCCTTTATTTCAATTTGCTGAAGTAGAATAGTGCCTTCCTAGGTGTCTCCCAGGCACACAAGCATTGCCTGCGTTGCTGTATCTCTCTCCCATGAGCCAGGCCTTTCTGGCTGGAAGTCCCCTGCTCAGTGACCTGGCTGGTTCGGGTCCATCCTGAGCAGTTCCAGCTCCTCCGGAGCAGGTTACCTGCGTGTGTAACCCAGGGTAAGCCCCAAAGCGCCAGGTGCTTTTGAACCTGTCAGGGGTGGTGAGCTTTGTCTAGGATACATCCCGTGACGCTTTATTTTTCCATCTGTCCTGGCTGCAGTGACAGCTTTGACATCTTGCGAGAAGATGCAGACCGCAAGGTGCCAAAGCGAACGCCTTGAGTCACCTTGGAAGGAGGAGCTGATGATGCTTCTACCTGTTGGAGGAGTCTGTTCCAAGAGCAGGGGACCTTGGACAGCCACTAAACAAAAGCCACCGATTCCTCTTGAAGCTGATCCGTCCAGGAAGAGGACGGGATGAAGCAACTCCCTGTCAAGGCAGGGACCAGAGCTGAGAGTGCTGCGGAACCTCCCAGGGCTGCGTCCTGACGTCTGAAACTCCTGCAGTAACGCGATGGTGGGGAAGGCATGGGACTGCAAAAAGCGCAAAACCTTTTGAGGAAGATGGGGCATGCTGATATTCAGCAAACACCCAAAAGCAGAAAGAGCGGGGGGAAGTCCAATTACTTGCTTGAGCTGCTGATAATTTAGAGAGGATGCTGTGAGCGTGTGGAAGGGCAAAGGGATGCTGGCCGCTGGCAGAACTGCACGCTGAGATTTGTCACGTGGTAGTCGAACACCTTCCCCAGGAAGGGTCTGGCAGAGGAGACGGGATCTTCCCCGTTTCCCACAGCACTGGGTTCTGGGGGGATGCTCTGGCAGATGAAGCAGGATCTGCTGTGGAGAGGAGATAACAAGAAAAGAGACTCTTCCCTCTTGTCCCTTCACCACAATTTCTCATGTGTCAGTGCAAAAGCTGAACCCACTTCACTTTACAGGGTCTGGGTATAAATTGTGTGTGAGCAGCGATCGGCTGCAGATGCTGAGGAAGCACCTGAACCCCCCGAGTGCCTGAAGGCAGCATGGCACACAGAACAACTTTCCTGCCCTGATAAGAGGAGGAGGCTGTTCTAAATGTCAGCAACGCCTCAAGAGGTACAGGAAGTATAAAAAGACAATTTCCCAAAGAGGGTCTCTGGCAGGAGCTGCTGCGCGTTGAGGCTGCGCTGGAACATGCGATGCTTTTGCTAAGCTTGTGACTTCATCTCTGATTGAAACAAGACCATGGATGGTGGTGAGTACCTGTTCTGCAGCCTCTGGCTCTCTCTTCAGCTTTATTAATAATGCCCAAATTCATGCCCTATGACACGCGGACGAAGCACTGTTAACAGAGTACTTGAACAATGTAAAAGGCTTTCATCTCCTCATAATTACTAAAAAAAAAAAAAAAAAAGGCGCAATATTAAAAAAAACTCAAATCAGTTACTTCAGAAACAGAAAAAATAGGCTTGGAGGGGATTTCAGGAGCTATTCTGTCCCGTAGCAAATGAGTTCTCATAATTTGTATCTCTTCTTCCATGTTCTTAAAAAAAAAATAAATAAAAATAGGGATAATACTACCTCCTTGGTAATATTTTAATTCAGTGAATAAACCAAGGAATTACGACCAAACATATCTGAGTTTGTTGGCTAAATCTGTCCAGTCTTATGCAAACTGTTTCTATTAATGGATATCTTCACTGCAGCAACAAAACTTTGCTGCAAAACTTACGGGTTTGCGTTGGCTCGGAGCTGGACCAGCCCTGGGCGAGGGCACTCGGACGGGTCGGGATTCCCACGGATCACCCCATCCCGAAACACGCAGAAAAGAGCAAGTTAAGTGAGAGAAGCCTCTCTGCTTTGGCACGATGACAATTTGTTCCTGTTTCTTGCTGAAAGTTTCAAAGTCTTTTTGCCATTTGCTGTTGTTTCGCACCCAGTGCTCCGCGGGCACCTACTTCTAGGAGCTTGAGTAGGTGGGCGGCCACAGGAGGGGAACGGTGCTGTGGGTCGGAGATGTGGCAGATAATATGCAGGCTCTTTGTTCCTCTGAGACCGCATGATTTATTCCTTTTTCACTTGTTTTTTTTGTTGTTTTGGGGGGTTTTTTTCTGCTCAAATATTTGCAAACACTAATCCCCGTGTGACTGGGGAGGGGGGGGTGCAGGGAAGAGGGACAAATGGAATAGCTCGGGTGGGTAAGTTAGTTTATAACCAGATTAACCAAACTGGGTTTAGAACACAACCAATACTTCTCCATGCCGGGGAGCACGGTCAGAGCTGAAATAAGGGTGGGGAGAGGGATGGGACCGTATCCACAGCGTTCATCCCAGGAAAGCCCTGTTCCAGGGGTGGTCCAGCAGGATGAAATGGGAGGGGTCACGGCCTTTTTGCTCTGACATTTTCAAATCAAAGCTTTACATTAACTGGGAAGGGAGTGATTTCCCTGGGCTGGGAGTTGTAGGTGTCCTGTGTGAAGCGCTGCAGACAGAACTCGAGATAATCTGTGAAAACACTGAGATTTGAGCACCCAATTCACTACAGGTGCCTTAGGCTGTAGCACAAGAAGGGGGACTACTGCCCTCTCCTTTTTTGAAGAAATTAAGATGCAAAAACTTAAAGTGGCTCATGCAACTTTTTGCCATCTCTCTCACCCAGAGAGCTAGTCTGGTACAGCCGGGAAAGTGACTGCTGCTTCTATCTTTGTCCGCTGTTTCAGCCCCCAAACTAGTCGTCGTTTCCCAGGCAGGGATTTTTTCCTCTTGAAAGGTCTGTGGTGATGTCTGGATTAAGCAGACAGGTTTCCACGGGCAGGGTCTGAACGTGAAGCCATGTACGGTGCAGCTGGTGCTGAACCCTGCTCTGAATTAGGAAGGGGGAGCTCGGGGTCTCTCTGCAGTGACAATGGGGACGAGCAGCCGGGGGTGCGGGGTGCTCCAGGGGTGCAGGCTGGAGGTCCTGGGTGCCATAGGACCCACCGGGCAGAAGCAGGGAAGGATGTTCTCACGGATGCCTCCTTGCAGCAACGGCTTAGAAAAATCCCTGAATTTTGGAATCCCTGCGTCCCAACCAACACATCACCCAGCTGGGTCTCTCCACCACCCATCAGTCTTATCTCACTTAAATATTTGGCCTCCGCAATATCACGCGGGCACATTGTAGGGGGTTCAGTATTTGGCGGGAACGGCTGTTACTCTGAGTTTAGCTAATTGGTAAAGGTTAACTATGACAGGAAAAAGAAAGAATTAGTGAGAACCTGATGAAAAGAGTATGACAATTTTCCTGCTTTGGGTCTGGGGGTTTTTTGTCCTACTATTATATTTCAGAAGAATATTCCAAAAGAAATATTTCATAGCACTTCGGATGCACAGCATTATTGCTTTATTCTAAAAAGCAGTTATGTAGGAAACACAATTGGCTCACTTAAAAGATTCATTCTTAACTTGCTTATCTCTGCTTATCTTTTCTTTTGATTCACAGTTTCCTAAAAAGGGTGGAGGCAGATAATTATTAACTTTCTTCTGTAACAGATCTATGAACACATGAAATAAGAGTATGACTTGGTATCACTGGGTCTGTTCACTCCTGAAATGATGGTATCCTTCCTCTGCCAGTTGTGAGAAGTCGAGGGGAAAGAGGGGGGAGAACAGCCCTAAACTGTTAACTGCCAATAGTCAGTATATCATTTATGTATGATTAATTTTTTCTCAGAAATATCTGGTTCTTTCCCCAAGAGCCTACTATACAGATGACGATGAGGCACTAGAAACCAGTACGTTTCGAGATACAAACAGTACGTTACTCACTGCCTACACATGTGCTAAGGTGCTCGAGACTGAAACTTTTGCTTTGCAGTTCTTGCCAATAGAAAAATAGTGTTACAGCGGGAGGGTTTAGCCACAGCAGGTTTGCTCGGCTTTCCACTACTCCCTAAAGCATTCCCGACTCTTGCTGTTCACTCGGCGCACTCCTCGGCAGCAGTGAGCAGCTGCTGCTCCGCGCTGGCCCCGGTTGGAGCCCGACCCGCTCGGGCAGAATGACCCAGAGCTTCATTCTGCAGGATGGTGCTTGTCCAGTTTTAACCATCCTGCGCGGCTGTGGCTCTGCTCCTCTCTCCTCCTTTCTGCTACCAAATATCTCTTACTGTCAGAAGCTTTTCTGGGCATACCTGGGGGATGCACTGCTACTACAGCTTCTTTTATCTGAGGTAAGATTGGTTGCTGATGCTGAGGGAGATTCAGATAAACTGGCTGGGATTCATCTGTCCAACTTCGCCAACCCTTCTGCTGCAGCATGGAATGAACCGCACCCCAGATGCCCACCCCACGGCAGCTGAACCATGCCTTAAAAGCACCCCTGTGTTTCCCTTTGCTATCGAGGGAGCCTAAACAACTAACCAGATGTCAAGGGCTAGAGTTCAGTGGGATGAATCCCACCCCTTGGGCTTACTCTATGGGGGAAGATGTTCCAAAGTGATGGGCTGCTGTTCCCTCTCCCCTGCACCCTGCCATCAGCAGCAGAGAGCAGATCTCTTCCCGCTGTCATTGGCGTGGAGTAATTTTCCTTTCCCCGTTTTCCCAGGACAGGAACGTGCAGCAAAGCAGTGCAGCACCAGCTGAGGGACGTGGGGGCTGACATGGGGCTTTACGACAAGTCTGACTCATTTGCTGTAATGAGTTTGTGTTTTCTTTTTATAAGTGAGGTTTCTAGTTCAACTGTGGGGACTTTTGAGAGGGGTTTTTTTTTCTTAATATTTTGAGGAACAAAACTTTAGGAAAATACCCACAACAGAGAACTGCCAGAGGAAAAAAAAAAAATGAAAAGTAAAGCAAGCTACCTAAAATTGCCTATTAAACTCCAGAGCACGTCTCATTTCCTCTCTGCAACTCATCTGTTTCTGCTCCCCCGCGCTGCCCTGGACCCCTCAGAGCGCTGCAGGGAGAAGCACGTTTCTCCCAGTCTGCCTGAAACTGGTGACACAGGGACTCAGGCAACAACCTCGTGCGGGAGGACCACGGGGCCGCATCGCCTCTCTGGTTATGCCTTCGCAAATGTGTAAGCTGAGGTGGGGGCACAGAATGAGAGGAAGAAACAGCGCAAGCTTTTTTTTTTTACATTTTGAAAAAAAAATCATTTGACATTTAAGACACCTGAAACAGCAACTGAGAAGGAAAAAAAAAGTGAGATGATCTTCAAAGGAATGATACATAACTGACCTGTCTCAGGATCGTTAGTTGAGTCACTTTATCAGTCACTATTTCGTTAGGCACTTCATAATGTGATAAGGAAAAAAAAAAAAAAGATCAGCAACTTGCCAGGGCTGCGCACTCCTGACTTTTCAGATTCAACAGGGGCTGGGCTGGTGCTTGAGGGGAGATGCAGAAGCAGCAGGGGAAGATGGTCCCATGCCGGGGGCAGTGCCCAGCCATGCTGCCGCACCACCAGCCTGGCACCAGGCAGCAAAGTGTCCTTGGCATGGGACAACTGAAAAATGCAAACCAGGCAATGCCAAGAGCGAGGCACTGATGGATTGGGGTTGGTGCCTCCTCTCCCCTGCCTCCTTTTATACACCTTCTAGGAAGTGAATTGCCTTCGAGACCTCAGCCCCTGCCCAACGTGGATGAGACGGACCAGCAGCAGTAATTATTATCCATCAAAAGCACCAACTCCAGGTGCTACAGAGAAAGTGGAACAGAAGACTAAAGACTCTAAAGGCTGGCAGCGGGGGGGAGGTTTGCAGAGGTCAGGCACCCCATGCCCATGTCCCAGGCAGGGAGGGCAACTGAATTCTAGGCTTGCTTAAACCTACTGGGTTAAGTGCTTTGGGCTTTCCATTTATGTCCTGTATGCAAAAGTTAGATCAGCAGCTTGAAGGAGGGAGATGGCTGCAGCAGATGCACACCAAACCTCTTCCTGCAGTCTGGGACTGGTCAGAGTGAAAGTCATGGGGCATACCGAAAACACAGACGGAAGCGTTTAGCCATGCTTCCCCCCCTTATCCCTCAAATCCAGCCTTGGCATACTCCATCCCTGACTAAACTGCACTATGATGCGCTTTTGCACTTTTCAGATCCCCCCCAGGAGGATTCAGAGAAGGTGAGGGGTGTATGGACGTAACTAAGGACCCAGCTACATATAAGAGTATAAGAGATGAAAAGAGGGAAGGCAAGGCACAAATTTCTACAAGTCATAGCAGGAAGCTCACATACAGGCTCTGGAGATAAGTACAAGTATTTTCACATGTGGCTGAGGATCTCTCACCCACACATCACATATAAACAAGCATCTCCAATCACAGATACCGAAGTATTTCTGTTATTAACAATATTGCATGTGACAAAGTGCGGATACTGCCACAACAGTCGCAGTTACCTGAAGTAGTGGAAGTTCATCATCCTGGTCCAGTGCAATACCTGAACAGGAGGAGGGAAGGGTGCGAATGGACTCTGCGAGGAAACAGAACAGAGCAGCGTAGAACAGACTGCTAAGGACAAGAGCCAAAGGCATTAGTCAAATTTATCAATGAACAGGTCATGAGGAGAAAGTCATACTCCCTAGAACAGGCAGCTGGAAGCCTCTGCCCCTGCCCCAGCCTTGGACCAGGTAATCAGCAGGGAAGCGAAGGGCTGCGGCGCAGGGAACTAGCCAGTGCCTAGAGAGACATCCCAGGGTGAGCAGCGTGATGCTCCAAAGAGCTGATGCCAACCCTCCCTCAGAGCAGAGTTGGGGGCTTCCTCACAGTTGCCAGATCACCTTCTAGCTTGGCCAGCTCTCACTTAGAACTGCCTGGGGGAGACGATGTTGTGTGCTTTAAATAGTGAAGACAAAGCTTTCACTGGCTTCTGTGCCTCTATTAACCACAGCAGGAAGAACTGTTTGTCTGAGATTGCTCTCATCATTATCGCATCTGGCCCTGAATTTAATTTTTCCTCCCAGCTGTCAGCATCCTGTATCTCCACATCCAAAGGCAGCAGAAGCCAACTCTGACATTTAGGAGACAAGCAATAAATCTCAGCCAGCTTCGGTTATGTGCATCCTGCAGGGAGCAGAGCTTTCCTGTTCTGCAGTCCAGCCACGGCACTGTCGGGGAACAGCTGGGCCAAATTTATTGTGCTCACAGCTGTATGGTTTTACATGGGTTCAGTATGCTACACCCTCACAGCCCAGAGCAGGGCACAGGAGACGGGCTGCTGACTGCAGGAAAACAAAATCAAATGTATAAAATAAAAATGGGTACACCATGCACGAGCTCACTGCCCTTAGCTATCGGCCTGTACAGACAAGGGGCCAGACTCCTCAGATTTAATCTGTGCTCTGACAGTAACTTGCTACGTGACCCTGGGTTATCCTGTTAATGTTTTCATCGGGTTTTCAGTTACCCAGCTGTGGTGAGCTTTGCAGGGTTGAGAATGCCATGGTCAAGTAAGTTACCACTGCTTTTTCAAAGCGAGCATCATGTGGAAACCCCCTCCTAACTGCTAACACTAACACAGCGTCTCCTTCTTCTACAGGCAAGCAGTTAAAGGTCACCCTTGTTTTCAGCCTTCCTCTAATTTTTCAGGTAAGATCTTAAAAACAACATTGTTGAAATCCCACTGCATTTGTGTTGTGGGTAAAGAAAGATCTCGACAACTTTCACGGGCGAAGAGCAGCCACCCACAGCCCTGCAGAGATGCGTGGGCCACGGCTGCTCGCACCAAGGATCCAGCACGCCCGAGGCGGGTGGTGAGAGGGCAGAGAGGTGCTAGAGGCCAGAGGCAAAACAAACAAAAGGAACAAGAGCAAAGAGAGAACAGAAACAATGACATACACTGCTATTTTAAGATGACCTGGACTGTTAGAACCAAGTCCCCTTCTAGCACCAAGGGAGCATTTTCAGTTAAGACAAGAGCATCCCACACCAAGTGCTGGTGAGGAGCCAGCTCGTGCTCTTTGCAAATAGCTGCTCCAAGTGCTGGGCTTGGAGAGAAGACATGCCCAGGGAGGACGAGTTCAGCATCTTCCTCCACCTGTTCCTGCTCAGAGTAAATCTGAAGCGGGAAGGAGAACCCAAAGCACCGAGCCGTACCGTGACCTACTCCTGAACTGCTCACGCTCCCGCAACCACAAGAGCGGCCTCAGCCATGCCATGGCCCCCAGCTCAGGCTCACCGAGAGGCCCAGCACAGCAGGGAGAGTTTTGCACCCTGTTTCTTTTCCCTTTCACTTCTGGTGACATGCCTCCAGATAGCAGGCAGGATGTGGTGAAAGCCAAGCGTGCCTGAGATGGAGAGCGCGCGCTAAGATATTCAGTGATAACAAGCAAAGGTATCCAGGGGAAACCTTTCATCTCCGTGCAATGGAGAGAAGGTACTGGAGACTAATAAGTCACAAGAAAGCAGGGCACAGATACCACAAGCTCACTCTGCCCTGTAGGTTATGGCAGTGTAGGAAGATGAAACAAGAATAATCAGAACCTAAATCAGGGGCAGGGGCCTGAATGAGACACCGGCAATGTGTCCATGCCAGCACAGTAACAGCTTCCTGCTTTACTGGCTGTGTTTCCTCCCAGTCTCATTGACACCTCTATTAATTTAGCAGAGAAAAGAGCCCAGGGAGGCTACGGCTTCATCTTCCCACGGAGCCCTTTGCTGCTCACCCCTCGCTGCGGGGGGGGACGGGGCGGCAGCAGGACCGGGAAGCCCAGGAGGACACCGGCACAGACACAACCGCTGCCACCCGCTGCTAGCGCTGCCACGAGTGAGAAGGGGGCACGAGCAACAGGAGCATCTCAGATGGGAGAAGGGAGGGGATACTGGAGTTAGAAAATGCCTAACGAGTACAGTCAGTCAAGAGGAAATGTTATCCCTGCTGAGGGAAGGAGAGGGCTGAAGGATGTATTATTTTTCCCATTTTACCTGACAGCTGACTATGTACATACAGCTGTACGTGGGTCCTGAACCATTCTGGAAAGCAGCCATGCGTTTCAGAGTTCGCAGGTGTTACTTTGGCTGAGCCCTAAACGTTCCTTGTGGAATTCCCACCCTGAGCCCCAAAAAACCCCCAAACCCCACATACTTATGGGAAACGTTTTCAGCCACGAGACCTTGCCAACTCTGTTCACGATGTTGGCATGAGCCAATGCTCGGGAAGTCCCTGGGACTTCTCTGGGGCCGGGCAGTACAGCCTGCTTCACCGGCCAGCACCAGGCTCCCTTCCCGACACGGCCACGGAGGGGCACAGTACCTCCTCCCAAACACTCTTCTTCCCTGTTCTAGCTCTGTGCCGGGAACAACGTCACCGATGACTATGACTCCAACACCACCATCGACTACACCATGTTTGAGATCCTGTGCGAGAAGGAAGAAGTCCGGAACTTCCGTGCCGCCTTCCTCCCAGCCATGTACTCCCTCATCTGCTTCACGGGGCTGCTGGGGAACGGGCTGGTGATGCTCACCTACATCTACTTCAAGAGGCTGAAGACCATGACAGACATCTATTTGCTGAACCTGGCTCTGGCAGACATCCTCTTCCTGCTGCCCCTTCCCTTTTGGGCCACAAGCGCAGCCATACACTGGCTTTTTGGGGAGTTTGCCTGCAAAGCCGTCTATTGCATCTGCAAAATGAGTTTCTTCAGTGGGATGCTGCTCCTCCTGTCCATCAGCATCGACAGATACTTTGCCATTGTCCAGGCTGCCTCGGCCCACCGCTTCCGTCCCCGGATGATATTCATTAGCAAAGTCACATGCATCCTCATCTGGGTCCTGGCCTTCATCCTCTCAATCCCTGAGCTGGTTCACAGTGGTGTAAATAACTCCAACAGCCAGCCCCGTTGTTCCATCATCGCTAATGACTTGCAGACCTTCAACGCTGGCATCAAAGTGTCCCAAATGGTTTTCGGCTTCTTATTTCCCCTAGTAGTCATGTCTGTCTGCTACCTCATCATCATCAAAACATTACTCCAGGCCCGCAACTTTGAGAAGAATAAAGCCATCAAGGTCATCATCGCCGTGGTAATTGTCTTCATTGTCTTCCAGCTGCCCTACAACGGTGTCATGCTGGCCAAGACCATCTCAGCCTTCAACCACACCAGCTCGTGCGAGGAGAGCAAGAAGCTCGACGTGGCGGATGACGTGACCTACACTCTAGCCTGCTTCCGATGCTGCCTCAATCCCTTCCTCTACGCCTTCATCGGTGTCAAGTTCCGCAACGACCTCTTCAAGCTTCTGAAGGAGCTGGGCTGCCTGAGCCAGGAGCGCCTCTGGCAGTTGTCCACCTGCCGTGAGAGCAAGAGATTTTCCTTTGCCATGGAGACAGAGACAACCACCACCTTCTCCCCATGAGCCGAGCTCCACACAGGCTTTGACCAAGGTGGAGCAGTTTTGTACACTTCTTCTATTCTGAACTACTGGTAGAGCGAGACCTGCCACTACTGCAGGAAAGGCAGCTGCAAGAGGAAAACCAGGAGCCTCCCCATGTTTCAGGCACCTAGCACTGCTAGCCAACACTCCCGTGGATGGAGAGACTTCAGTAAAGCTGTGACTAATAGCAAAACAAGGGAGAGGGAGACCGGTGAGTCTAGAATTTATCATGCCACTTCACCTTTAGTTTAGTCTTTCCTATCAAAATAAGAAATGCTCAGAGTAGAACAGTTTCCTTTAAAGAAACAAACACCCAGAGAGACAGACATTTGTGCAACAGAATTGCTTGGTTTAGAGCTAAACTTCCAAGAGCATCATCCTTGCTTTGAACGTTGCTTTTAACAAGACTTCTCTTGCTCTTCCATATCCACAAAAATATGATCCCTGCTGCACTGACTCAGTCTCCAAGACTAAACAGCAATGAAGTTTCCTAGCACACACCTCTCTGCTCTGCCTTTCCCCGTGAGAAATTTCCATAACTAATATCAAATCCAGACATATCATATACATAATTTCTATAACTTTGTATATTGTTGTGGCAACTCTTACCTTTGCTAGGCAAAATACAAATTGCACCTCGCTGCTGCCTGTAACAATGATAGCTGGTGTTTCACCAATAAAGAAGGCGCGTCCTAAGGAGCACAAGTTACTGCATCCCGATATCGACTTGAATTCTTTAGAAATGCTGCTCCACTCTGGAATTAAAGTCTCCTTTAGCTTCTGAAAGGGCATCTGCCTGCTCAAGGCTGATGCAGGGATAGCTAGCACAGCCTAGATTCAAGCTTTTTGCACAAGGAAAAAGTTAGTTGCAAGCTCCAAATAGCTTAAATTTGGAAAGACATTGGTTAAGAAACAGATACTTCTGCATCAATCCTGCCAGGTGCTTAAAATACATTTTTATCACCCAGCCATCCAGCCTGTCCCAGTACCATCCTTACTCCTGACATGCTGTGGGACTGTTTACTCACTCGCTTGATATAAAGCATGTGTTTTAGTGGACAGGTGCCAGAATCCTCAGAATTTTAAAGATTCAAACCCAGGGCAAATACATATGCATTTCTTAAGGCAAAACACTCAAATTCAGCATACAGTTGTGCCTATGGTCAACCACTTCAGTCCGCCAGCATCTGAAGTTTGCTCATACCTAGCTTTGTCATCTGCTGCGAACGCAGTCTGCCGATTTTCACATACGTGTGGGGGCCTTCTGCGCTGCTGCTCGCTGACCTCAAGAGATAAACACGAATGTGGGTTTTCTTCTCCCTTCCCAATGAACGCGTCTTTCTAGAAGGACTTTCGCAGCTGGCTTTTGAGACAGATATATATTTCACTTATAAGCTATCGAAAACATGTTTTGCATTCGTGCTGTCAGCGCTAATAAAGATGTCATTCACTGTGGTTTGATTTAAATGCAAAGGACAGTCACGTGTGGAAGATTACTGCCAGGGTCACGTACGTGAAAGGAACACGGCAGCTGAACAACAGATTATTGTCATGTAAAATAAGACCTTGAAAAGAAGCCCAGAATGTAATGCCAGTTGGTGCATTTACTCGGAGCGAAGATTCCTGCTGACAGATGAACACCCTGGGAACTGCTGTCGTGGGACATCTGAACGGCAACTGGGGAGGAGCTGCTGCAGTTTTTTGTGCGTCTGTGATTGATTTGCGTGCTCTGATCCCCAAAGCCAGACATCAACGGCAGAAGGTCTTGGCCAGGAACCGGAGCGGGGCAGGAGGGGCTGGCTCAGCAGAGGTGCATAGCCTCATACCCCAGAGCGGCAGGTGAACAGTTTTCTGTTCAGTGGACGTACAGAGCCACGCAGAGCAAAACACGCTTACTGAAAAGACATTTATACCTTTTTCAGTACCATGCGTGGATCCATTAGGAGTGATACAGGGAACGCTCTGGATCACAGGTCAAAAAAAACCCCATTGCTTTAGAGACATGAGAACTGAAAACAGCCTTCCAAGGAAAAGAATTCAATTAGCTGGTTTTCAGACAACATGCCAGTTATATAGCTGGCTGCCATCATAATTAAATAAATTCTTCTTCACAAACCATTTGGCTCTGGGGTATGGGATTTTGCCAAGAGCTGGGATTCAGGAAGAAAGCTCATTCTGCTCCGTGTTACCTGTCTATGCTGAAGTACAATCCCATCCAACCGTTTAATGCATTTTCTTCTATAATGCCCGTGTAATGTGTACAGAAGTGCTGCTTCTCTGTCCTATGAAATGGGGGGTTATGACTGACACTGAATAGTCATTTATTCTTGGTTTGTTCCTATAGTCCTTACTCAGGCAAGACACTCACCTAACAAGAACTTTTCCAGAGCAAGGAATACCCAATAACACAGGGTCTTTTTTGTTTTCTTCATCAGTAACAATACATTCTTAATGTATATTCAGATATGTAAAGCTGCTTTACACAGAAAATGTTAAATACGTACATGAATGTACCCTGAAAATACACTGCTTTGAAACTTTTTATGCAAAATACATTCACCTAACTTATTCTAGCAAGGACAGTTGCTTCACCAAAGCATGCAATCGTACTTGTCTCCTGTTTGATAAAAGCCATTCCCCTTCTACGGGCTGAGAAGTCTTCAGGTTTTTATTGACTAGATGTATTCTAAGTAAGAAAATATGCAGCTGCTTCTATCCAGATGAGATACTAAAAGCATCACCTGGGACAGCTGCATCTAGTGCCTCCTCAATGAGACAGCGGTGACTTCAGAGTACATAGCTTTTTTTTTTCCCCCCCAATTTGACAGACAGAACAAATTTGCCACTTGGTTAGATGCATCATGCTAACACTGGCCTGAGATCCTAACTTCAGATTCCCTACTGAAACTCTGAAAACTGATGGTATTTTGCCATTTGTGGAAAATAAATTATAACAATATAAAAAAATACCTTTGTTTTTCCATTGTGTTTCCTCCATAAGATGTATCGTCTCTAGTAATTAGTATCCTGCCCTTCTGGTCCTGTCAAGAGCTGTTTGTTGATCAACTTAGCTTTATATTGGTACTGCCCTGCAGGAAGAAAAGCATGTAAAATAAATTAATTAGAAAAAAAGTTGGTTTATTTCATCTGTTGATAAATTATATAGGAAACAAGTCATCCAACAGATGAAGCAGTAGTCTTTATTTTAACTATCAACCCAACTGCCTTAACCCTGCTCCACTCCTGGATAAACACCTGTAAGTCACCATCAGGTATAAGTGAAAAGCCTTTATATTGTAACATTTTATTGTTCAGCTTAAAATTTTAAAAGTCAGTAACGAAATACCATATTACTGTGCCAATTGCTCACGGGGAGAAGCAGTGACCACAGCTCTGGTGGCTGGCACACCAACATGCAGGTAAGAGCAGTAATTGCCACGCTAATTCAGATGAGCTGTCCATCTCATGCAGCTCTGCAACTCAAACCAGCCAACGTGGCATCATTTAGGCGTACAGAATATTTCTTCCTGACTTCCCCAGTTAATTTACGCCTCAAGGCACATGGGAACTATCAATATCCTTTACAAAAAGCATCTTATAATTGCAACCACAGAATCAAAGAGAAAGAAACCTCAAAGAAAACCAGAAGCTTGACATTGGAGTGCCAAAACTAAGGACCATTTCTGCTTTCACCAAACAAGGCACGTCTCACGGTTTCTCCCTAGAGAGAGAGTTTTCTGCTAGTTTCAGCACCTGGCCCACAGGTTCAAGCAGCGATAAGGAGCATCTCAAGAGCACAGCACCACAATACAACTCTAGGCTATAAAAGCCTAAACTCAAGGCTCCCTAAATAAACATTAGGTCTCACATACTGCAGCTAGGTCAGAAGTTTCAGCTGCCCCGAGTCCAAGGGGCTCATTTGTGTAAGAGACACTGTCTGCTGAAACAGGAGCTCTGAACTAGAGCACCCAAAACAGAACTCAGGCTTTGCAGGAAGGTGCTATGCTTTTAGCAATTCCCTGCACTTCTCAGGGGTGACCACATGCCAAACCTTTAAACATGGGAGTTCCTGAATTTTAAGAAAACAGAGACTCCAACTTACAGCCCCGATTCAAACCAGCCCACCAAGCAACCATCCAAGGTCACACCTTAGGCCATGAACATCCCAGCCAAATCACACAGTTTCTATTACAGGAAAAAAAAAAAAAGAAAGTGTATTTCTGGGATGGATTTAACCTATTTTATTACCTTTCACCAGAAAGACAAAGAAAGAAGTTTCCTTTTACAGTACACTGAGGGACTGGGACCAATCTCAGTTTTAAATTTTCTTTAAAAAGTCAATTAAAAGTCAATTTTAAAAGCCTGGCCCTCGTTACTGGTCTGCAATAAACTACATCACCTACCACCTACTCATAGTCATGTGGACCCCAGGTGGTTCCTGCCATCCCTTCTCCACATCACTGTGGGAAACCTCTTGGTTGCTCAGAATCCCTCGTTGCTCTGCAAAAAATATCGCTGCTAACCCTTCCTCCTTCCCTGGCAGTTCTTTATCTGTGCATGTGTGTATTTTTAAGTCACGGTTTAAAAGCCCTCAGTGCCAAATGGATCTGGGCTGGGTGGGAGGTAAACTGGAATTAAAGGGAGGAAAACTGGAAATAGAGGGATGTAAACTGGAACAAGGCCTCACTAAATGCAGTTGCCCCCATCCCTCTCAGAGCACTGGTTTGTCCTCTCCCTCCCCATGCTGTCCCGGGCGCTGGTTCCCATCACTTGCTGGTGAATGAACTGATTAATACAATGGTGAAGGGGAAGCTTCTCCAGGCATGGCTGTGGTTTCTGATGTGCCACCTGCGTAGCTGCAGGCGGGAAGTCCTTGTCACCCGAAGAAAGAATGAGCTGGAGTTAAGTGATGCAAACAAACCCTAAAAATAATGCACGTGGGTGATGAGGAAGGGTGGTGGTATGCTGCTACAATCAGAATA